TCAGCCTCTTACATTTTGTAAACTCGTATTTTACACCGTATACTGTCAGCGTCCATATCAAGGGCTTAATTACTCATGGTTTCAAAGCTGTTAAATAAGCATTCAGTATTAAACTATGGGTCAGTCAATTGAATGAGTAGTTCTTATATGATTTGCTCTAAATTTAGATTTGACCCTCAAAGTGGAATTCAGCTTAAAACATGTATCAGTGCAGATTTGTGAAGTTGTAAACATCCCTCAAAGCCAAAATGCAAAAGCTGTGGGGTGTGATGCCATCAGCCAACACTTCTTGGATTTGATCCACCGATGCAGCACAGGAGACAAACCGGCCGCAGTGACGAGCCAAGTTTTAGGGGAATATACATACATATCGTGTGAATCAGGCTCATCAGATGGGATCCATTCATTTAGATTCTACAATGGATTTCTGACGAGTGAACAATTTCCAAATGCTCCCTCCTTGCTTACTAGTATTTGATATACTAACTGCTGATGCAACACCACAGAACAGACTCGCTCATCTTGACATCCCTCCCTGTAGCGCCGTCAACAAAGACCAGACACAATAATATGACTGTGAACAAATACAGTACATGGATTACTGGCTGCGGCAGAGACAAACTGAGGAATGGTGCAGTGCAGACATATTTCTTTTGATGAAATTCACTTTACAGTTTACTACTAATCTTCACATTAACTCCAAGTAAACATTTGATATAAATATAAGGAAATATTGAACTAGTAATAATATGGCAATGAGTCCAAGATGTAATTGTCGAATCTCTGAAGTGTAACTGAGGCTTGAAACTGTTTAATCATACATTTTATTATGAATAACTATAACTAAAGAGAAAACGCAAATACAACCACATATATAGAACTTGAGGAAATAAACATATTTCTTATGTAAACATAAATGCAGATCTTTTCTGAATAGTTTATTCTGTAAAATAAAACTTTTCACATTATGAAACATAAACGCAGATACCGATAATGTGTGGGAAAAGCTCATTACGGCCGATATTATATGCCAACGTATAAATCAGATGGGCTCAGGCAAAAAACGATTGCACATGGAAAGATCCTGGTACCTGTGGACAAGCGGGCGCAGTGCTGGTTGTTAAGTCTGGAAGGAACAACCTGTGATACCTGTGATACCTGCGTATTCTGCATTATACCCTGAAAATACAGGTGCATGTCCTCGACAAACCAACATAACCATACTATTTAATGTTGCTAAAGTAGGCAACGATTATTAACAGCACCTAGCGAAACACGGGAGTCTGGCTGCACTTTTCCTCACAAGCTGTTACCCATGTAAAGGGTGAGGCAAGCAGGTAATAGCGACAAATATAGGGCCTTAAACGACGACAGCTTTACGATGCCTGAGCGGCCACTACGACTCCATTCCTGTCAGATCCTATTAGCTTGGCCTCCACTGTGCGTTTCGATTGGCTCTTGGCCTATTCCCAGCAGTTACAGAAGCACCTCCCGTAAATAAACCAAATGGCTGCATCTTGTAGTGTATGAAGGGCAGGGGGGGGACAGAGGGAGGCGAGGGGGGGTCCGGGCAGCTGGGCACTTGTGTGTAAAGAACATCCGACAGAGCGGTTGAATAGTTTAATATACAGCACCGGGCTGAATGGACGCAGTCAACAAGAGGGACAGCTCGACACATATCAGTGTAAGAGTTTAAATTTGACTGGTGTTTAAGAAGAATACAAGCAGCCAAGCGAGGGAAGCGCTGTTAAATCAAGACAAGTGGTCTCATTCCACTCCACACACACTCCCATAAACAAAGTAAAAAGTGTATCTGCCAGCTGCCAGGTGGAAGTCTAAGGGAAGGCCACCTGTCTAATAACCGTTTCTGATGCACAGAGCTCAGCAATATGAAACTAAGCATCTGGCCTGTCCCCTTCAAACTGATCTTGTTAACAGCACAAGTGTCACAGTTCCTCACACAGAATTCATTTGGGTGGTTCACCTAAACAGCTTTTTTTCCCCCCCTCACCAAAAATATAATTTTGTGTTTGTCAATTCAACCAATTAGGGCTTGTGATGGCAATGTGGTTTTGCCACCAACACTCAACCACCAGATGTCCACTGGACATTTGAAGAAGAGCAGAGAGTGAGGATTTATTGGTTGTTGTCCAGCTAAGCCAGGAGCGATTTATCCAAGACACTTCTTTCTTTCTTTACAAACCAAAAAGCCCTGCAGTAAAATTAAATGGATTTGTAAATTCCAGGGACAATTATTAATAATGCAATGCTAGACATGCTGCTGCTAAATTAGTTTTTTTTTTAACTGCATTTGGAACAGGTACAGATAAAAAAAAACAACTGGACTGAAACTAAGTATGCTGACAGAAGAAAGGCTGGCAGCGCTGCTCACAAAGTGAAATTTAATCAGCTACTTGTGCTTCAAACTTCTAAAAGAAATAATAATATTACAAAAGAAATTTATTTGGGGGGTATAAAAAGAGCATATATAGTATTTGCAATTACAAATCAATATCATAATAAATGGGATAGGAGTACATGTCAGTTACATAGATTTTTATGATGCCACATACCTTTGTGAGTTTAGGTAGTTCTTATCACACTGATGTATGTCCAGTAACTTTGTTATGGCTAGTTATCTGATTCTATAAAAGCGTAATCAGGCATCAATGGCAGAGTCTCACTCATGATTAGTCAAACGCGTGTATTAGCTGGATCCATCCCCCAATCACTACTGCACAGACTCTGGCTCTTAATGCACAAGATGTCAGCGTTTGTATCCAAGATGTTTTGGTTTCATTTCTGGGCAGTGGGAGGAAGTGAAGACACGTTGTTCACCTTTATACGACAGTCTATGTGCTGTGTGTAGCATCATATAACTTTATATAAGGGTCACTGAATGCTGTGTATAGTTGGTACAGTTCAACCTCCTGCAACCACCCTGATCCTTAGATCTAGACTTGAGGATAGAAAAGCATCCATTTTAAATTCAACCACATTTTGTGTTCAACTTTGACACAACAGAAACAGTGTTGTCTAT